ATTATCTTCTGCAGCTGTCGACATGGTGGGGCCTCCCAGACCTGTGTCTCAGCCCTGATCCACCTCTGAACTGTGGCCTCGTACACCCAGTCACCGCCTGGCACCTCCCTTTGGATGTCCTGCACTGAACGCATCCTCAATAGAATGCTCAATTTCCTGTCTCTCCTCCCCTCCCCCATCTGCTCTGCCTCCCATCTTCCCTTCTCGGATAACGCTGCCACCTTCTGTCCACTGCTCAAGGCCCATCCAGAGGGGATACTAAACCTGCCCTCCGCCTCCCATCCCATGACCCCCCCCCCCCGGTCTTGTCCACCCTCTTCTGCCTCCTTACTATTCCCCTGACCACTCTCAGCCAGAGATCAGTTATATCTCATCATTTCCCACCTGAGACCTTCCCTGAGGGTCTCATTGCCCTACATTCCTCTGGGCCTCCCTGCCATTCCCCAAACGCACTAAGCTTGGTCCCACCCCAGGCCCTTTGCACTTGCTGTTCCTGCTGCCTGAACATGCTCAGCTCTTTCCCCTTCTTCGGGTCTTCACTCGAATGTCACCTCCTCCGAGAACCCCTCCCTAACTACCCTGGTCAACGTAGGCTTCCCACTCCTCTTCTCTGTCCTCACAGCCTATTCTTTTTCCTCAAAGCACTTGATGCTATTTGTCAATTAATCAGCTACCCCTTGAGTTGTTGAAGTCCATCCCTCCCCGGACAAGGGACCAGAAATCTGTCTGTTCTTTCACATTACGTCACCAATGCACAGGGCTTGCTGATGTAAGTAATACCATTATTTGATAAGTATTATTACTTATTATTATGTAATAGTTAAGTGTTTGTTTGAAGAATGATAGGTAGAAAGGCCATGGAAAGTCAGTGATCCTTGTTTTTTTCGTCTATATTTTTTTCTTCACATGAATAGTAACTTATAAGGTCCCTTGTTGGTCATCTCGCTTTTTTCACTTAATAAGCTTGTAGATAATTTCTTTTTAGTATATAGAGAGAATTTTTGTTTTGCTTCTTACTGAGGTATAATTTACAATGCAACACACCCATTTTATTTTATTTTGTTAATGTTTATTTATTTTGAGACAGAGGGAGCAAAAGCAGGGAAAGGGCAGAGAGAGAGAGGGAGAGAGAGAATCCCAAGCAGGCTCTGTGCTGTCAGCGCAGAGACTCACGCAGGGCTCGAACCCACCAGTGATGAGATCACGACCCGAGCCGGAGTCAGGAGTCAGATGCTTGACCGACTGAGCCACCCAAGCGCCCCCAAACACGCCCACTTTATTTATTTTTAAAAAATTTTTTAAAACATTTATTTATTATTGAGAAACAGAGAGTGAGCCGGGGAGGCACAGAGAGAGGGGGAGACACAGAATCCGAAGCAGGCTCCAGGCTCCCAGCTGTCAGCCCAGAGCCCGACGCGGGGCTCGAACCCACGAGCGGCGAGATCATGACCTGAGCCGAAGTCGGATGCTCAACCAACTGAGCCACCCAGATGCCCCAATACGCCCATTTTAAACACACAGCTTGGCGAGTTTGGACCCACGTATCCACCCATATAACCACCGCCATTGGTGGATTCTGGGTGATGGCCGCCTTTTCCAGCCTTCTCCTTAAATGGAACCACACAGCACATGCGCTTTTCTGCCTGGCGTGTGTCACTCCGGATGACGACGTTTGGTGTCAGGCACGCACTGGTATGTTTCGATGCTTTATCCCTTTTCCTTGCGGAGAGGACGTAACAGGACTACCTTGCCCCGTACGTACACCCTTGCGCTGTGCTCAGTTCGGAGTCGTTAGGAAAAAGCACGGCGTGTGGGCCTTTCCGAGGACCTGGGCTTTCATTTCCCGTGGCTGAGTCCTCGAGGTGGTGGATGGGTGCGTTGTCGGGTGGGGGAGCATTTGTGCGTTTTGAGTTTTTTATGTTTTTTTTTTTTTAAGTCATCTCTACACCCACCGCAGGGCTTGATCTCACGACCCCAAGATCAAGAATTCAATGCTCTTTTGACTGAGCCAGCCAGGCTCCCCAGATATCTGGTTTTATAAGAAATTGTTGGGGCCCCTGGGTGGCTCAGTTGATTGAGCACCCGACTCACGATCTCGGCTCAGGTGAGCCTGACATGCTGCAAAGTTTGGGACCAAAGAGTCTGGGGGGGCCAGTGAGTGAGAGGCAAAGTCATTCAAGGTGGAAAGTACTTTGGGAGCAAAATCCCTGAGGTGGGAGAGAAGAGGTTATGCAGACAAAGACCAGAAATTCCAGCCGTGAATGTCAGCCAAAGAGCTGGGATCATTCTTCTGAAGGCACTGGGGAGCCATGGTGGGTTTAAGTGCGGGGAGGTGTCTGCTTGGGTTTGGGCTCTCATAAGACCCCTCTGACTGTATCCGTGTGTGTGTGTGTGTGTGTGTGTGTGTGTGTGTGTGTGTGTGTGTGATATAGAAGGGGGTGAGGACACCAGGAAGGAGACAATGTGAAATCTGGTGTGGAAACCACAGCAGGCCATGGAGTCAGGCCGGGCAGGGGTGAGGACCCCACTGTACACACTCCTTGCTGCTCTTCCCTTTAGGTCCCTGGCTCCAGGCCACTCCCTGCCCTAGATTCTGACCAGGGACAACTGTGACTCCTCAAGAAAGACACTCCGGCTCTTCTCTGCCCTTCCTCCCCCCCACCTGCCCCTGCTCCCTCTCCAGGGAGGACAGGCGGCCAGATATAGGTGTGGGCTGTGTGCTTGTGGCAGCCGGGGTGGGGTGGCGGGAGTGTCTCCAGTTGTGCGGGTGCTGTGAGCTCTGCGAGTGTTTGCGAATCTCCCGGGGACTCCCTGGTGCACCTGGGTTGCAGCCCTTGAGTGCAAGAGTTGGCCTGCCCCCTTCCATGGGCTCTCCCTGCCCCCCACCCCCCACCCCAGACCCTGGCTAGTTCTCAACTTTCCCAGGGCAGGTCATCTCACCTCTTGCCTCAGTGTCCCAATCTGTGAATCAAGGAACTATTACTAGACCCCTCCGGGGGTTGTTGTGAGGTTCCGAGAGTTAAAGACAGACCCCGATAAAGGTGACCATTATCTCTCGTGTGCTTCTGGGTTGTCCTCCTCGGGGGCAGGGGTGGGGGGTTTGATTCTGGGTCCCCGGGTGTATCCACCTGTCGACCTGCCAGCTGTGTAACCCTGGGTGAGTTACTAGACCTCTCCGTGTCTCAGTTTCCTCATCTGCAAAACGGGTGCAACAACAGTATTTCGTGGGGAGACTGCGCAGACGGAGTGAATTACTCCACCCAAAGACCGCAGAACAATGCCTGGCACGCAGGCGGCCCTCAATTACACGAGCAGCTCCATTCGGGTGTGAGCTCAACCCTGGGTGTCGGGAACACGTGTCTGTCCGCGTCTTGCAGGAATCTGGGGCAGGAAGTGCCCGTGGAAGCCTGCGGGGTTATTTAGGGCAGCAGTGGCACCGGGCCTCTCTTTCCTCATCTGTGAAACGGGAATAACAATGCGCCCCACACGGGGCTGGGGCGCCAGCTCCAATCCCGTTTCCCGCGTCTACAAAGTGCGGCTGATGGCGGCGCCCACCTCCTTCTCCGCTGCTGGACGAGGAAATGAACCTGTAAGCGCTTGGAAGGCACCCGGTGCGCACGCAGAGAGCACGCCCCGTGGAAACCGTCCCCGGTAATCCGCGTGCGGCTGCGCCTGTGCTTGTCTGGGCCGGTGCGGCCGGGGCCCTGCAGGTCGTGGCCGTGGGCAGCCGGCCCTACAGGTTCCTCCGCACCCCACTTCCTCCGGCACCCCACTTCCTCCGCACCCTGACCTCGGCCCCCACCATCGCCCTTCCCCTCGCGCGCAGCTCGCCAGGACCTCTGGGGAAAGAGGGTTTGGCAGCGCGTAAGCCCTGCCCCTGTCCCGGGTGCAAGTCCCCCCAAAACTCGGGTGGGATTGCTGCTCCCCTCTCTGCCGCTCTCTCAGCGTCTCCCCGGGGTCCCCCATCTCTGTGCCTTTGCCTGCGTGCGTCTACACCTCTCTTTTTTTAAACAGAGCTTATGGGGCGCCTGGGTGGCTCAGTCGGTTGAGCGTCCGACTTCGGTTCAGGTTGTAATATGATCTCATGGTTCGTGGGTTCGAGCCCCGCATGGGGCTCTGTGCTGGCAGCTCAGAGCCTGGAGCCTGCATCGGATTCTGTGTCTGCCCCATACCTGCTCGTTCTCTCTCTCTAAATGAAATAAATATAGTTTGTTTATTTATTTATTTAGAGAGAGAGAGCACATGGCAGGGCAGATAGGGAGAGGGAGAGAATCGCAGGTGTCTCCGCACCGTCAGCACAGAGCCCTATGCGGGGCTGGAACTCACAAACGGTAAGATCACGACCTGAGCTGCAATCAAGAGCTTACCTGCCTGAGCCACCCAGGGGCCCCTGTGTCTCTCTCTGCCCTCCACCTTGGCTTCCAGAATGTCAGGGTCCCAAGGGTGTGGCCCAGGTGAGGGGAGATGAGGAAGCAGCCGAGGAGAGGCAGGGGCTCCCCCACCTCCCACCCTGTGGATGAGAAGGAGGGGGAGGCGGGGGTGTGTGTGTCTTCCTTAATTAACCTCTTAACCCTGCAGGGCCAGGTCTTAACGAGGGGGAGGGACGTTATTAGAGAGCAGGGAGCCCTGGTTTTAGCTCTTTGGACACACGCTTCTCCCAGGGTCAATGCCTGCGCCCTCAGCTGGCCCCGGGGCAGCTGGGACAGGAGGCCCGGGGCACTGGAGGGGGGCTGGAAGCCTCGACTCCCGGGTCCCCGAGGAGGAGGAGATCAGGACCTGGACTCCTGGCTCTGAAGGAGCGGGGGTGGGGGGTGGGGGGCCTGGACTCCCAAGTCTGAGGGCGGAGGGCCTGGGACGTACAGCCTTCCCCCGAACACACCCGTCTCTTAAATGCCTGCGGGAGCGCCCCGCCCCGCCCGCCCCCAGTTAACCCCGCGCCCTGCGGACGGCCCGGCACAGTCGCCCGGAGCCCACAGAGCGAGCAGGTGCGCGAGCCACACGCGCCCGGCAGCGGGATGGAGACCGACGAGCCCGAGAGCCCCCGAGAGCCGCCGTCGCCGCCCCCGCCGCCGTCGCCGCCGTCCCCCGCGCCCCCCGCGCCCCCCGGGTCTCCCCGGCCCGAGCAGCAGCCGTCGGAGGCCTACGCGCGGCAGCTGCTGCTGGAGGAGTGGCGGCCCCCCGGCGGGAGCCTGGAGCTGCCCCCGCGCCTCACCTGGCAGCTGCTGTTCCTGCGGCGGCCGCTCTACCGCAACCTTCTGCGCTCGCCCAACCCCGAAGGTGCGCGACCCGCGGGGCGCACGGCCGCGAGGCCCAGCCTCCGCCGCGCGCCGCGCACTCGGACCGTCGGTCTCCTCCTCTTTCCTTCTCTCGCTCTCTTTCTCGGTTCCTCTGCATCTTTCCCCGTCTCTTCTGTCATTGTGCCCCTCTCCGTCTCCTTGCGTCTTTCTTCGTCCCCCTTTGCACGGCCGTGTGTCGCTTTCTATATAATTAGTCCCTGCTATCTCTTTGTCTTACCCTGTGTCTCTTCCTCTCTCTCCCTGCCTCCCTCCGCCTGTCTTTCTGTCTCTTTCTCTAGATGCCTCTCTCTGGGTCCGTCTGTCTGTCTCAACAGGACGCCCTCCTCCTTCCACCCTCTTCCTTCACCGCTCCGTCCCTCTTCCCCCAGGACATTCTCAAGGCTCTGGCAGGGCTCTGAGTCACACGTCGGTGCCAGGCAGGTCTGGTCTGGCACAGATTCCCGCCCTTCCAGCAGAGCCCTCCGGGGAAGGAGGCCCGCGGCGGCCCCGTAGGAGGGGGGGGGGAGGCTGGAGGCAGTCTCCGCCTGCCTGAGGCTCCACTCACCTGTGCGTTTCAGGCATCAACATTTATGAGCCAGCGCCACCCACTGGTCCCACCCAGCAGCCCCTGGAGACTCTGGGTGAGCGCGCCGGCGGCGCCCTGGGGGAGGGGGCGGCTCTGGTGAATGTGCTCGCTCTAACCCGTGGCTCCTCCACCTGCCAGGCAACTTCCGCGGATGGTACATTAGGACTGAAAAGCTCCAGCAGAACTTCAGGTGAGCGGCCAGGATGCGCGGGGCCTGCGTTCGGTTCCCTGCGCGCAGGGTCTCGCTTCGGGGCCTAGAGAAACCGCCTTGGCCCCTCTGGGCCTCTGTTTCCTGCTCTGTGCTCGGGGCTTGGCACACAAGAGAATGCTCGCAGGACACAACGTAGGGTCTGGCTAGCCGGTCCCGCCTGCACATAGTAGATGTTCAATAAATAACAGCCCTTACCATTGCTTTCTCAACCTTTTTCCCTGGGAGGGGGAATCACCCAGGCCGCTACTTATTCTCCATTAAACCTCTGAGCCTCATTTCTGCACGTGATGAGGGGTGTAACTCAGGGGCTCGGAGTCACACGCGCCTGGGTTGGGATCCCAGCTGTGCCCCTTCTTTGTGGCTTGACCTTAGGCAAGTGACTCCCCTTCTTGAGCCTCCGTTCCTCACCTGCATCCTGGGGTTCGGAAGGAATGGCCCTCAGAGGGGAACAGAGGAAACTGAGGCTGTAAGGTGCTGTTGAGGAAGTGCTCAGCGCCCCTAGGTGGGTGCCCCTGATGTCTCTGCGAGGGCGCTAGGACCCCAGCAGGTCCCAGGCCTCACCTCCCCGCGCCCTCCCCCACAGCTGGACCGTGAAGCAGCAGTGTGTGGATCTTCTGGCGGAGGGCCTGTGGGAGGAGCTCCTTGACGATGAGCAACCAGACATCACGGTCATGGACTGGTACGTGCCCCCCCCCGCCCCCGCCCGGCCGGCCTGTCCTGCCGGCTCACTGCTCACGCACAGTGGGGCTTCCCGATGTGGAAACCTCCCCTGCCCTCCCCTTAGGTCTGAGCTCATCCCCAAGACTGTCACAGCGCTGCAGGGTCCAGCCCTGCCTGTTGCTCTAGCCCCTTGGCCCTGACGCTCCCAGCTTTCGAGAAGTGCCAGGCGGGAGGCTGTTCCTTCCTTCTGAGACGCTTGTCGCCCTCTGTCCTCGAGATACATTCCTCCTTATCCTTCGGGGTTCGGTTACACGGGGTCACACAAGAATCCTTTCCTGACTACCGTCAAGCTGGCTCAGATGCGTTATGTGCCCCGATCATTCTTGGTTTCACAGTCTGGTGACAGGTCTGCCTCCTCCATCGGACTGTGCCCCCCACAAGGACAGGGCGTGGGGGCGTCTTGTTGTGTTGCCAGCACTGCCCAGCCCGGGCGCCCGGTGTGGGTGCCAGTGAGTGTGTGTGCCGAGTGGCCATCAGGGCCAGGGGTCGGGGCAGGGACGTCGGGGCTGTCGTGGCCACTGAAGGCCCAGACCCCACCCGCAGGTACGAGGACAGCCGCCTGGACACGTGTGTCTACGAGCTGCACGTCTGGCTGCTGGCAGCCGACCGCCGCACGGTCATCGCGCAGCACCACGTGGCCCCCCGCGCCTCCGGGAGAGGCGGCCCTGGCCGCTGGGTCCAGGTGAGGCTCTGTCCCCACCCCCCCCGCTGCCTTCCCCAGACATGTGTTCACGTCAACCTCAGGGAGGGCGGGGTAGGAGAGCGGGAGTTGCAGGTCCCTAACCAGGGATTCCAACCCCCCCCCCCTGTGCTGGCGCAGGTGTCCCACGTGTTCCGCCAGTATGGCCCTGGCGTGCGGTTCGTCCACTTCCTGCACAAGACCAAGAACCTGAGGGAGCCTGGTGGGCTGCGGCGGACCAGGGTGACGGACTCCTCTGTGTCCGTGCAGTTCAGGGAGTGACGGGCCGACTCCGGGCCTGTTCTGACCCCTGCTCTCACTTGTCCACTGCCGTGACCCTTTCATGGTTCCTTAGTGCCTCCTTGATCTCTTAGCACTTCCCTGGCCCTTTGCGCCTCCCGGGGCCCCTTAGTATCTATCTCCCTGTTCCCTCACCACTTTGACCACTTCTATCTCTTTCACCCCCCTGACCCTTAGAAGTCCCTACCCCTTAGCACCTCCTCGACCCTCCGGCTCTGCCTCATTCTCTTAGCACCTCCCTGATGCTCACCACCTGTTCCCTTAATACCTTCATGACCCCTCAGCTTCTCTTTGATCGCTTGCCACCCCCTGGGCCTCTCATTCCTGCCTGGCCCTCGCTCGCTCGGCTCCGCACCTGACATCTTCACACACCCTTGAATGGCTGACTCATTGGCCTTTCCTCTGCACTGTCTGAGCTCCATGGAGACTGAGGGTGGCGGCGACTTCTTCCTGAGTTAGCGCTCGACACATGGCGCTTCATAAATCTTTGTGGATCGATGAATAAATTCACGTGTGCGAGGATGCTGAGTCTTTTCCCTGGTCTTTGCTCCCTCAGAATGTCACGGAGTTCAGATTCTGATCCTCCAGCACCTCGCAGCCCTTTGCGCCGCCCTTGACCTCTGACCTCTTCACGGGTCCCCAGTGTACAGCCTCTTGGCATCTCCATTTACCTCTCGTCTCGTATCTCTTAGTCTCAGGCTGTCCTTTCCCTTCTCCCTATAACCCCAAGTTTTCAACCCCTGGAACTGTCCCCATCCCTTCCCCCATAAGACCCTCATTTCTGCACCTTGTTCCTCCAGAGCCCCCAAGCCCAGCAAAGGCCATCATCGCTGGGGATGGTGGTGGGACAGATTACAAACTTGAACTAAATTTTTTTTCCACGTGTTGGGGAAAGAGAGATTGAAAGTCTAATAACCCTTCAGTCCTGGGCTCTGGCCAGATCTGGCAGGAGACCCTGGGGCGGGGTCCTTGAAAGCCTCCTGCTGTTCCATGCATGAATCCTGAGGGAGTCCGGAGGTCCCTCGCAGGTCAGAAAAGCTGGGGGGACATTCAGGGAAGGGCCATCTACCAAAAAGTGTGGGAAGCATGTTAACGTTTAACAATCAGCCCACGCTACATGTCACGTGCCTGTCCTGTGGACGTGTGCCTTTGTGCACACCTAAATCCATGGCAGAATCTATGAGTATGTCCCCATCTGTGGCATTGTCCAAAGTATAGGCTGTGCAGGCCTGACCACCCTGCCCTCTCCCCCAACCCCCTGGTCCTGTGTGGACTTGGGCCCCAAGCACGAGTAGATGGCAGACAGGGATAACTTCACACGGGCTCTCTATATTGCAGGGAAGACAGGGCAGGGGGCAGACAGAAAGTTCTCTCCTCCTGGGACGTGGGGCCTTCGGCGCACCCCGAGTGAGGGCCTCTGCACTCTGTGGGGGCTGGAGCTGAAGTACCTCTAAGGCGTCAGTAACACCTACAACAGAGGCAAAAATTATCACCAGGGGGGACGCCAGGGGCTCAGAGATCCAGGGTGTGGGGGCTTCTAAAAGCCTGAGATGGGGTGGAGGGCTGGGGCTGGGCTCTAAGCTCAGGAGCTAGGTGTCCCGGGGCCGAACATGGGGGGGGCGGGGGGCGAGGGGCTGAACAGGGAGCGGGGTTTGGGAGAGAGCTATGACTCTAGGGTCCCAGGGTCTGGGAGCTTGCGTGTAAGGGTGCAGGGTGGGCTCAGGGGCCCCCAAAGTTGGGTCTGGAGGACTCCAGAACCCTAACGGGGGCTCTAGGGCTGGTGTCCAGGTCTAGGTGGATGCGGAACGAGGGACTTCCTAGAACTGGGTTTGAGATCCTGCAGCGGGTCAGTTTAGAGTCCGGGAGTGCCAGAGTTGTGGGCCTGGGAGCTCCAAGGACCTGATGATCTGGGGGTGGGATGACTGGCTTTGGTTCTGGGGGCTCCAGGGTGAGGAGCCAGGCCCAGGGCTGCTGCTCTGGATTCAGGAAGGTGGGAGGCCGGCTGGAGGGTGGGGTCAGCTTCTGAGTCCTGGAATCCCAGAGCTGGGTCCGGAGGGCATGGGCTTGGTGGGGGAAAGGGTGCGGGGAGAAGGGCTCCCTCCGGGATTGGTTCTAAGGAGTCCGGAAGTGGGCCAGGGGCTCAGGGGGCTGGGGGTGGGGGAGGGGGCGCTTCGGACGCGGAGGCGGGGCCGGGGCCGGCGGGCACCTGCAGTAGAGCGACGAGATGCTGTTGGACCAGTCTCCGAAGATGCCCTTGCGGAACTCCTCCAGACGCGGGTAGGTGCCCGATGAGAACTTGTGCGTCTTGCCGGCCTTGCCGCGCTGGGACCACACGGTGATCTCGCAGCGCGGGGCCACCACGAGCGAGGAGATGACGTTGTTCCAGTCGGCGGGCAGGAAGGGCAGGTCGGTGCCCGGCTCAACGGACAGCTCGGCGCCCCCGCAGCAGTTGTCGTAGTAGGGGTCGCTCTTGTCGTAGAGCCGGGCGCACGTGCGCGTCCCGTCCGGGTTCTTGAGGTCGGCGGGCACCGGGCAGGCGGCTCGGACGCCCGGGACGGCCGCCAGGGCCAGGGCCAGCAGCAGGGGGCACAGCGGGGACATGGCGACACTTCGGGGCCGCGCGTCCTCAAGAGCTTTTATGCGCCTCACCCGTGGGAACCGAGAAGCTGCGAGATAAGGCCGCCCTCCCTCGCCTCCCCCGCGGGGACACCTTCCTAACCGAGGCCGGAAACCCACAGCCGATGAACACGAGATGGACAGATTTGTACACAACTTAGTAACTTAAGGTTTCACGTGGCAAACGTTGTTTTTTAAAAGTCGATTAACAGGACTTGTGGACGAGTCTCCTGGAATAGGAGGGCAGCACAGCCTTAATAGGTATTGGTACCAAGGGTTCTAGAAAACCGACAGGGATTGGAACAACGCCCCCCCCCACCCCCACCCACTGCCACTTCCAAATTAGGAGAGGTCACCGACTGGGAGGGGGAAAGGGGCCGGGTTTCCAGGCTGGGCAAGTCCTCTCCTCGGCACACAGGACCCTGGGAAAGGAGAAGCTGGAGATAAGGAGAGGCCCCAAGGGGAGGGAGAGGAGGGGAGGAGATGAGGAGAAAGATCCCGCTCCCCCCAGACCAGGAGACCTTCCCAGCCAAGGTTGGGAACCCAGAATCCGTGAAATAAACATATCTGCACAACACTTGGTTTTTACCACTGCAAGGCAAGTACAGAAGGTTTGGGGGAGGGAAGGATCACGACACTTGGGACAGTGTATCAATAATGGCTATAATATATAAAGAGTGCTTACAAATTGACAAGAAGATATCAAACACCCCCCCCCCCGCCAAGAAAAGCAAGCTTTGGATGGGGAGAGGGAAGGAAGAGAAGGCTGCCACCCCCTCCTCCTGTTACGAAAGAGCCAGGAGATTTGTTTGATGAAGACTGGAAATCTTGAATTTATAAAATAAACAGAGGACCTACTGAACTGTATAAAATGTAAACCCTTTCCGATAGCAACAAACACAGCCTAAACCAAAACCTAACCTGGGGAAAAACAGACAATTCTTTTAACGTACAACAAAGCAGTTATGAATCTGCAAGCCAAAGGGGAAACTGAAGCGCAGCAAAGGAAGGGTAGGTGGGCTGGGTTCTCAGAGGCGGACAGGGAGCTGGGCATCTGGGAGCCTGGCCAAGACCCTTCAGAGACTCTTTGGAGCTCCTGGCTTCCTGCCAGGCGAGCACAGGGTCAAGAGTGGACGAACCCATCAACAATCAGTGGCTCAAGTCTGTGGCTCTGTGGATGAGGCCAAGTCTGGGCCTTGGTTTCCTCATCTGTAAAATGGGTGATATTTCGGGGCACCTGGGTGGCTGAGTTGACTGAGCGTCTGACTCTTGATTTCAGCTCAGGTTTGTGAGATCGAGCCCCGTGTTGGGCTCTGTGCTGGCGGCATGGAGCCTGCTTGGATTCTCTCTCTCCCTCTCTCTCTTTCTCTCAAACTAAATAAATAAACATGAAAAAATTTTTCATGGGTGATATTTCTTCTTGTAACGATAGGATCGTTATGAAGATTACAAGGGATGACAGAAAGTCCAGGGGGAGGAGGGAGAGGAACAGCCTCCGGAGCCAGGCTGCCTAGGGCCCAGTCCCAGCTCGTCTTTGAGCAGGGCCCCAGGGTGACAATGATGAGGGCCACCTCAGGATGCTGGTATAAGGGGTCAAGGAGTTAATCCCCATGACAGCACTAATAGGGCCCTTGCTGAGTGACCTGTGGGCATTTGCCACCACTGTCACTATGTCAGCCCTGATCATGGTGCCTGGCACACAGGAAAGGAGCTCAATACACATAACATAAAGCACGATGCAGCATCAGCAACAATCTGCTCTTATCCCCGAGCAGCTAGCCCTGCCCCTGGCCCCCGGCCCCCCCAGATGCTGTCTCCCTGCTTTGGCCAGGGGATTGCAGGGGTGAGGAGCCAAAGGCTAGAAACAGTGGGAAGTAGGTTCAAATTCTTGACTCTGTCACCCTGCAGAGTGACCTTGGGCAAGTGAACTCACCTCTCTGAGCTTTGGCCTCCTCCTACCTTCAAGGGGATAATAGAAAATGACAATGGAAGATTACTATGGGGCCCCTGGGGGGCTCAGTCAGTTGAGCTGTCAGCACAGAGCCTGACATGGGGTTCGAACCCACAAACTGTGAGATCATGACCTGAAGTCCGACACTTAACCGACTGAGCCACCCAGGCGCCCCTAAATAAACATTTTTAAAAAGACTCTATAAAGAAATCTATAACTGACATAATTAAATATTATTCATAAACATTAGGAACAATCCCCATAATTGTTATTGAGGCATATAAATACTTAATCTGTAATATTGAATGAGAACGATATCAATATAAATACGTAAGACACGAAGTACAGTGCCCGGCACATAGAAGTAGCTCCAGAAACGGGAGCAGTTATGACTATCTTATAATGATGATTCTGAGACCTGGGTCCCTGGCTTGGCCCCGCCCCAAACCGGAGCCTGGATCCTTCTCCCTCCTTTCCTCCTGCAAGCCCATACAATCTAATCTCCAGCCGCTAACTTCCCAGCCAGCCTCCTTGATCTCAAGGACACAGAGCCCCCACCCTCCCAGCTCCACATGGGTCCCTGGACTCAGGGATGGAGACAGGTGAACATAGTGCTGCTGGAGAGGGCCATGGCTGTCAGGCACAGTAGTGACACGGGATAGCAAGGAGACCCTGATGGGAAGAGACAGTCCCAGTGACAGGAGCCCTGGCTGTGGACCATAGCATAGAGCCAGCATCAGAGAGAACCCACGGAGACCCAGGGCGAGGGCACCACATCCCCAGTCCGGGGACACACACATGAGCAGGGGGGGTAGGGATGTGCTATGACACAGTCAGCCACCGATGGTCACTGAGTCTCACTGGCGAGTCCTAGAGAACGGGACACACTGAGTGCAGACACATGCTTGGTACACAGTCTGGGAGAAATGCTGTCCCAGACAGTGTGCCTCCCCGGCCGCCGGACAGAAACACAGCCACCATCAATGACAAACTCCCAGCCCTCAACCACTACCCCTCTGCACCCCACGAACTCTCAAAAGCACAAAACTCCATGCACACAGCTGCCATGCCAGAGTGGGCACCCACAGGCACTTTCGTCGAGAAACAGTTTCCTTACTGTTTATTAACACAAACTGGGCAAATAGTAGAAAAGTAAACCTCTCCTTTTTTTTTTCTTCAAAAAATGGAAGAACGCCCTGCCCTTGAGGAACCCATGAGCCCTTGAGAAAGTCCGACGGTAGGTCAATAATTTGAACACAATGTGAAGAGAGTTAAAACAGGGGCATCGCAAAGGACTCTGGGAATACAGGGGGAAGAATAGCAGCCCCCCCCCTTAATATCCGCTGATATAGTTTGATGCGTATAATGAGAGAAAGATCTTCTTTTCGGAGCTTACAACCTTAATTCCACATTTTTCACAAGACCATAAAAAAGGAGACTGGTGTGCAAATGAAATTGCCACTAGTAGAAAAAGAAAGTATTTGTCTCAATCAGGGTAGTACCTGAGCATAAACAACATTATAGGTGGCACAGAGTTTAAATGAAAATGCTATCTGTTGCATAAATACAGGAAAATATTCCAGTCAGTACTTAAGTTCTCACTGGATCATGGGAACTCACTACCCTTCTGCAATGAAATGTCACTGGTGAGATTATTTCCATATAATCCTTAAAGGATAATATGACCCCCCCCCCAAAGCAGCCATAATCCTGTGGTTTAGAAATACTGATTCTCCTGAAGTGTGGTCCCCAGATCAATGGCATTGGCATCCCCTGGAGACTTGTTAGAAATGCAAATTCTCAGGGCGCCTGGGTGGCTTAGTCGGTTAAGCGTCCGACTTTCGCTTAGGTCATGACCTCGCGGTTCGTGGGTTCGGCCCCGAGTTGGGCTCTGTGCTGACTGCCAGCTCAGAGCCTGGAGCCTGTTTCAGAGTCTGTGACTCCCTCTCTCTCTGGCCCTCCCCTGCTCACGCTGTCTCTCTCTCTCTCCTAGAAATAAATAAAAACATTAAAAAAAAAAAAAAAGAAATGCAAATTCTCTGGGGCACCTGGGTGGCTCAGTTGGTTAAGCTTCAGACTTCAGCTCAGGTCATGACTTCATGGTTTATGACTTCAAGCCCCGCATCCGGCTCTGTGCTGACAGCTCAGAGCCTGGAGCCTGCTTCAGATTCTGTGTCTCCCTCTCTGTCTGTTCCTCCCCTGTTTACGCGCGCGTGCTCTCTCTCTCAAATATAAATAAACATTAAGAATTTTTTTAAGAAATGCAAATTCTCAGCCTCACCCAAATTGTTGAATCAGAAACTCTGGGGGGGGGGGGCACTATATGAGTTTTAAGCGCCCTCCTGGTAATTTGATGCCTCTTTGATTTGAAAACCACTGGGTTAGGGTTTTGATCTTCTAAGGCTTTGTAGGTCATAGACTGTTTATTACATCTAGAATACTCTATATTGACATCTCAATTTGTTCAGCTCCGATAAAATGTATTTCATATAATTTTTCTGATTAAAAAAATCCATTCGAGAGGCGCCTGGGTGGCTCAGTTGGTTAAGCGTCCAACTTCAGCTCAGGTCATGATCTCACGGTTCGTGGGTTCGAGCCCTGCGTCAGGCTCTGTGCTGACAGCTCAGAGCCTGAAGCCTGCTTCAGATTCTGTGTCTCCCTCTCTCTCTGACCCTCCCCTGCTCTCTCTCTCTCTTTCTCTCTCTCTGACACTCCCCTGCTCACGCTGTCTCTATCTCTCTCTCAAAAATAGATAAAACATTAAAAAAAAATCCATTCGCCATAGAAAAAGGTTTTGGGGGTCCCAGGTGGAGCCTCATAAGGCCGTACCTGGAGCCCGAATGCGTCAAATGAACTTGAACTTCTCCAACACAGACAAAAGGCCAGTCATCATCTAACTTCAGGTCGTGGCTGAAGAGTGCTTTCTCAGATACACCGGCCCCTGGTGAGGCGGCTTGTTTCCAAGTCCCCCCCGGGGTCCCATGGGTCACTCACGGTCTAAGTCAGGGCTACTCAACCTTCACTGCCTGGCAAA